ATTTCTCTCTCTACCTGTTTCATGGAAGCTTCTGATCTCTTCTTCTTTTTCTTCTTCTTGTTGTTTATTTCATGTTCTAAATCTATCAGACACGTTTTCGAACATGGGCTACACATAAGGTATATGAAAGTCAGAGAAAGATAAATCATCCATTGTCGATGGTAAAACTGATGAAATGATGCGGAGATCTCCGCGAGAACGGCGGTCCGCCATGTGTTATGACAGCATCTCTATAATTTTTTGCGAGCCTGGTAATAGGTTGGTGACTTTGCTTACTCAAGCCGTTCCATATTTATCAACGGACTCAGAAAGATAAGGATTTTCATAACCACGAGACGACCAGGAATGATATTGAACTCCGATGAAATGAGCTTCTCAGCACCTACTTCGATAAACTGGTAGCAGTGAAGGTAAAATTCGCCTAAGAATAAATTTATAGGATAAAACCATATGGGAACCCTTTGGGTGACAGGAACGGGCAGTGAGAGCACTAACATGTGAAACTAAGAGGCTGAGGTTTCCAAGATCAGAAGACCTTGAGCGACTTCTCGGGTCGTTCGCAGCTACTATGGATGTGTCGCTGATACATTTAAAAGAGCGTTGAAATGTGTGAAAGTGACTTGCAAGCGGCAAAATCACCCCGGTTTTAGGACGTCTTACAAAAATGCTACTTCCTATATGCATTGATTAAAATTGTGCGATTTCCTGCGGAATCCTTCCGTTTTTCACCTCAACGCGGAACCCAAAATAAATCGAATTTGTGGTTTGGGTCTAGGGACCATAATGTTCTCTGAACAACAATTCTACTGGAGTGGAGTGGAACATCTTCACCAATGCCAGAACTTGAAGCTGCCCTATATTGGTTGCAGTGCAGGGCATGAGCCAGTTAAGAAGCTTGTTATAAAAGCAAGACTAGCTATGTCATAAAATTATAACATAGCTAGTCTTGCTAGTTGGGAGGGAATCTGATTCGAGGGCTGCTTAAAACCAAATCGTTTATCTGTTTCCAGCGCTCTTCCAAAAGGCTGTGTGCACTGTGCCAAGAAGGGCCGAAGGGCTAAAAGACGCTTTCTAGGGATGCCTTTCAAAGTTTTGAATAGACCGATTTCAACTGGTCTTTATTGTTTCGTAGAAGCCTTTCCTATCAACTAAATGCTGGAAATATGACAAAAACGAATGTCGTTAATGGATGCATCAAGTCGTAGACGGTGGCTTGTGGCTCCGCCCCTCTATCGTCTCCACCAATCACGGGCAAGATGCGTATACAAACCGCGCCCCTTTCATGTAAATGCACTCATCTGTCACTAATATACAACCAACCACAACCGCATATACACGCACTGCTCATATGGACAACCTTACCGGCTTACAACGAACACCCAGTGAGTTGTGGGGTAATGCACTCCAGCTATTTCAAATATTTAAGCAATTCAATTACATGCACAGTAAATACATAATCAGATTTTGGTGCCATAAATGAATAAGGCGAAATTGTTCCGCGAAGATGTTTTTATTGACTAATAGGTGTGCGACCAACGTATGTGTGTGTCAGCATATCAAATTGGTTATACTAATTTTATAAGTAGATAACCGTATTTGGAGAGATTAGCAGCCGAACAGTGGAGGCGATGCTAGTTGTTATGTGGCTTTCCGTCCGCGTAGCCTGCTCCGTATCTCGATTTTCCTTCTGAATTCACAGTTAAATTCAATCCGTTGCTCATATTCTAGGCCATAGGCACCGTGGATAAAAGCTATTCAGAGTTATTAGAGTCTCAAATGTGTATTTTTGTGGATCTTTACTATTTTATTTCAGTGATCTCGCCTTACGACCATCCTCTAGACATCAAGCATGATCCGGCAGAGAAGCGCCATGAAAAGGTGGGTGGAATGGGTTTTGGGTAACTTACTGAGAATTGGTACAGAAGTTTCACTAAATATTTTGACCAGACGACATATCGCATCAACCCATTGAAGCCGTTTGCGTTCCTCTTCTGGGAGTGCTGCCGTTCAAAAGCACCCCAGAACTCGCTAATGCTTAGAAATGTCTGAGTAAGTAGTAAGTCAGTAGTTGAGTGACGTGCAGCGACAACGTGAACGTCGTGAACGACGAACCGAATCACCGCACCGAAGAGGCTGTGCTAGTAAGGGGAGTTTGGAGACAATAATCTGTGCAGGAGCCTTGCTTTCAACAATGCACTTCCCTGAGTTAGGCGAAATTACTCAGGACTATCCCTTACCTCCCCACTATGGCTCTACGAAAAGCCCTCTATGCTGCTCTTAGTGGTGATATGTACCCCAACTCGTACATATGACATACGCAGCTACAGTGTTCATAGTTCAAAATTTTTTTTCTTGATTAGTCTGTTTTACGCGTCACTTTTTAGTTTTAGGGTTTGCATAGGCAATCGAAAAACAGCGCCGGACCGCACCACCTTCACCACCTCAACTGCATGAGGCTGGGAGCAGCCATTCGAAACAAAAAGCACCCACTTACCCGATGTCTATACGCTCTGAAACAACTCAGCCAAACAAATGTTGAAGAAAAAGTTTGCCCGAAGTGCGAGTACAGGTTAGTGATCGTCGAGAAATGAATTTCTTTTTTCTCAGCAATGTAACAGCTTACCCTAAAGAGATCTTCTTACAACGTTCAACGCAAATCGCCATCTATAAAATCCAGAGCTTTTTGTCACAAAAATTGACCATTTTTGAAATGCTTTCCATCGATTTTTTAAGGGAGGACTCTGCATTCATTTTGTACACTTCGTTTGAAGCTTGTTGAACTATTCGTTTTCGCAAGTGTTAGTCGATCGATGGTAGGCAGGAGTGTACTGTAGCTCTGGTCACAAAATCCAATCCGGAGTTTCCAATGTTCTCACACTACTTTTCTGCGGCGCCTTCCGTTGTGGATCGCCATGAATGAATTTACCAACCGTTCATGGAGGCAACAGTCATTGGCTAGAAACTTTCTCTATGTTTTTTTTTGCAAGAGAAACAAGAACGGATCATGTGTTGCTCCGGAAGAAGTCCCATCGGAGAAGCACCCTATGACCAAGCAGTACCTATACCAGGCTGGAACCAGACAGTCCCGTTCCAATGGTGAAATCGAGGAAAAGCATTGCAATTTCTGGTAGGAGATTCACATCTGTGAAAAACGACTCTCACCATCACACTTGTTCATCGCATAGTATGCTCTTCACACTGTTGCCAACTGAACACACACCTCTGTGGATCCTAGTCCTTACCGTGCTGGAATTAATAGGTCCGTAGCAGCAGTAGCGTGCCACTTCCTCTGGTCAGAATCGCACGGGAACGGAGTCAAAGGGCCATTTCTGGACTTGGTGCACCATACCGCACACAGGGCATGCCATCGTTGTGACCACAACGTGCGGGTCGATAGGGGTTGCACCGCGACGGGAGGGCGGTCGGTATTTTTGCCGTCTTGACAGAGAAATTTTTTTGGTAGTTGATTTTCTGTTTCACGCTTTAATGGGAAGGTCGTTATTTGGGCCGTGTTTTTTTTTTTTCAGGGGGAAACCCTCTATACAACTCTATTTTTCCGATCGTATGAAACCTACGACCCCCCCCCCCTCGCTCGACGAAAATTCTTAGCTGAAAAGCTGGAAATTTTTCGGGAAAAATGGAAAAAGTGGTAGGAAGTTGGGAAAATGTAGGCGAAAACACTCAGGTAGTAGCATGAGGAAGGAAGGGGGCCGTATTTGAGGGCAGAATTAGGGGGGGGCGTATTTTTCAGGAAGTGATCACAACGCGATGGCGTGCTCTGACCGCACAGCCAGCCTCACGCTACAGCCATAGCCGAAGGCGCTATTTGTCTACGCCATCTCATTTCTGGTTTTCCATACCGTTGTGCGGGTTTCGCTGTGGTACCTCGGCATCGAACCTCTTGGAGTATAGAAGGGACACGGGGGTGACGTTGTCCCGCAGCCCCGTTCCCGTACATTTTCTGCGAAGAAGGTGTACATAACTCTACTGCAGATAAGGACTCTAGCATCATGACAAGTACCTATCTCCAGGATGACCGTACATTTTGACTCTGAGTCAGAAGTTTACTAGAAGAAAGTATTTGGAAGGTTTTCACGTGACAAAGTTTCTTTTTTGAAGACATATCTAACTCCAACTAGCAAAGCAAAGCTATAGAAATCTCTAGTAGGTTTGAGGAGACGAACGCTCGATCTTGCCTTTTCGTGTACATTATACCCTTCCATCGTCTAGCCCAAACTGGAACAAAAGTAATTTTTTTCGATACTGAACTATGTATCGAAGCTAGGGAGTGGCTTGCATTGTTTATTGTCCCTACAGTAGGTTTTTTGTTATTTATTTCACATGCTCGCTTGAATAGTTAGTGTTTTGGCAGAAGCGGTTGCCCATATGAAGTCGCAGTACTGCACACACAGAAAAAACCAAGGCTTGTGCGTTGGTAACAAAACCTTTGACGACGCTATTTTGTAGGTACCAGCTAACTAACCATAAGCTCCCTAATCAAACTCTTCTTTCCTGAGATGCTGCAATCCGTTCTAGCCAGTCAACAGGAATGGAGTGTGTCTTGGGAGCTCAGTAGTGAAGTAATGGAGTTCATGCAGTACATCATCATCCGCGGTTGTGCTACTCCCTAAGCTGCGGAACTCGCTAGCACTAGTCCAGCAAGATGACATACAGTGGGCAAAAAAAAAACTTGGAACAAGTTTAAGTCGCGCGCTTTTTCAACAGCTTTACATGCAATTGTTGAATTGCACATAAAAACTTTGTTTGCTGAAACCTGAAAAGGGTGTTCTTAAAATAAAGTCGGTTGATCAAATTCGTTACCTGGACAGAATTTTGAAGATTATCACGATGCGGCTTGCCGCTGCCACTCTGATATTGGACCGGTTTTCAGAGTTTCTAATGCTTTGGGAACAACATAGGTTTCTCGAGAGTTGTAAAAAAGAAATGGAAGAAGGAGCGAACACTCAGACAGGTGTGATCTTCTTCCGATGGATCGCAAAGCATTAGAAACTTTGAAAACCGGTCCAATATCAGAGTAGCAGCGGCATGCCGTATCGCAATAATCTCCAAAATTCTGTCCCTGTAACTAATCTAATCAACAAACTTTATTTTGGAATAGCATTTTAGGCGTACTTTGTTTGAGCAAACAAAGTTTTCATGTGCAATTTAAAAATTGTGTGTAAAACTATTAAAAAGCGCGCGACTTGAGCTTGATCCAAGTTTTTTGCCGCTACTGTATCTTACAGAATTGTCATGAAATTTTTTTCCACACGTTACGCGTTCAGAACTTGCGATGAACCTGCTTCGATTGTCAACGCTCTTCGCCGTTCTGTTCTTGAGCACTTCGGCGCTGTTCACCAGCGCTGAACAAGCTTCATCCGCTGTGCGATGTGCCATTAGGTCACTAAGGGAATGGTAACATAACCAAAAAGAGCTGACTATGAGGCGAGTCTTCTACGGCCTCCCGCGTGGTCAATCCTCAGGTGTTGGCTGCATCTGGTAGAATTGTTTACCTGCCAGTTATGACTGGGACAAATAACCAAATAACTGAACCAGAAGATCCGCTGGTCTGAGTGAGCGTCTGTCCAGGCTTTCATCCCCTAACCGTATGCGGTAAGCGACGTCATTTCTAACTACAAAATCTCCGCCTACGCAGTTACATGAATACTCCAATAGTTTCATGTGCATACCATTTAAATGATTTTTGTTTATTCGTTTATTCAACACACTCAAAGGTGTGCTCGAAGAAAATTAAAACATGGGAGACCAGCAGTACGCAGCTGAATAAAAAATTTACAAAGAGAATTGCATACTTGGTCCAAAAACTAATCGCACGCTGACTTTTAGACTGTCCCCCTTTCTGGCAACGTATGAACGAACCAGGTATCTGCAGAAGTCGAGGCCTACAGCCGACTGCGCCCTCGTGCCCGAAGTGCAGTACACTCCAATGCTGAACAGAAGAGGGTGCTGGCACTGGTGAAATCAAACGATACAACGCGAAATGCTATCCTGCAAAGTGTAGACTCAGTTCCGCGGCTTCTTGTTTTCGGAGGCGATTGAGCAAAACCTGCGTTCTATTAGGTTGTCCGGAAAGTTCTCAGCGTTTTGTGCACCTATTTTTTGTACATTCACTGCTGATTAAAAACTCATTCTGCCTTGCTTCTCAGTAGCACATCCTGTAGAGAATTTCTTGCGCTATCTGATGGTATAATTGCCGTTTCACCATTGCTTGATAAACCCCCTTTTTTTTCAAGCATGTGAAAAGAGCACTTCGGACGATTTTTTCTTCGACTATAAATTGGGGCAATCCGCAATCGAAACAGCTCAACAAATTAACCAGGTGTGGGGGCCCAATAGTGCTAGAGAAAGCACTGTGCGGCAATGGCTCAACAAATTTCGTTCTGGAGATTTCAGCCTTGAAGATGAACCTCATAGCGGTCGACCTAAAGCAATATCTGACGAGGATTTTAGGGGGATTTTGGAGGCTGACCCATCCCAAACAGTTCGAGAGATAGCAGAAAAGCTAGGCGTTGGCAAATCCACTGTTGCAGATGGTCTGGAACGCATTGGGAAGGCTCGACAATTGGGTGCCCCACAATCGGAGTGACCGGCAGGAATCGGCACGTCTCGAGGTTCCTTCTGCATTGCTTACCATCACAGCAGAACCCTACTGTGAAGAAATCGACGAATTGTACCGAAAATTTTGTCAGATGCAGCCAACACTTATCAAAAGAAAGGGTCCGATTCCTTTGCATGACAACGCCCGCCCACACGTTTCACAAATCACTATCCATAAATTGAACGAATTGGGGGTTGAAGTTCTACCTCAACCGCCATATTCTTCAGACCTTTCGCCAATCGACTATCACCTTTTCTAACATTTTCAGAACTCCCTTGCTGGAAAATACTTCATCAATCAGGACAAAAAAGCCTTAGTGGATTTCGTGAATTTTCGACCACCCAGTTTTTTACTTTGATGGGATTTCTCGACTGCTGTCACATTGGCAAAAGTGTGCTGATTCGAATGGTGCCTATTTCGATTAAATCCGATGAGTATTAAGAAAGAGATCGTTTAAAGTGAAACACCCAAAACGCTGAGAACTTTCCGGACAACCTAATATTTTTCGGTGCTAAACCAGTTCGCGGGCTCAAGCACCTTTTTACTGCCTAGAGCTATGCTGTCCTTTTTTGAAATTATCAAAGGTGTACGCAGGTGATTATTGAAATGTCACAAAGATTAGTATGGATGGCTGGTTCCATTCAAGGCACGTGGGTCGCTCTTGCAAGGCCAAGTGGTCTAGTGGTATGATTCTCGCTTTGGGTGCGAGAGGTCCCGGTTTCGATCACCGGCTTGGCCCTAATTTTTGCAAGCTTGGTATACTAACTTTGAGCAGATCGTCTCATAGCACATAAGGTTCAAGTGGTCGGTTCGGCCAGTAGCTTCATAGATTGTTAATTTTTAGCCCTGATTAAAATTTTTCAATCCCTTACTACTTGAATTCGTTCTCACCCCTCTGGGCATTAAGAAGGGTCGATTATGAAAAGGTGAAACGGTGGACGATTCCTACGGGCGATCACCATCCAATGACCACGGTATGTCCTGTCACAGGAGAAAATCTACAAAATACGCCCTCACACCATATTCTTCTTGCGCGCTCCCATCCCCCCTCCCCCTTCCCTATCCTACGTATTATGTTTCCAACTGTCCTACCACATTTACCGAAATTGCTCAAAAATTTTCCAGTTTTCCTCCCCCAGACTTCATCATCGAAAAGTCAACAAAAAAAGCAGCGCGGTAAATTTCTCCGACCCCCTCCATCCAGGCCCAAATATGACCCCCTCCCCTCCAGAGATTCCCCAACGTAGGATGACCCTGTCAATGACATGTTTGGTAGGAAACGACCATCATATAAATAAGTTATGAACGTGAAAATGGGTGCGGGATAACGTTTTTGCCACGTTGATGTATTCATTTCGCTGGGAACTGCAGCTGCAATTTTTGGTGCAACAAAAATAGTTCCAAATTCACGGCCCTCTATTCTCGCTAACTCACGATGAGTTCATAATACGACCAATTTGACCATTTCTCTGGCTGCATCTTATAGCACCTAGAAGGGGGTGAGAGATGGCC